ATATCTCAAAGTAATAAAAGCTATTTACGACAAACCAACAGCTAATATCATACTGAATGGGCAAAAACTGGAAGCATTCCCTTTGAAATCCGGCACTAGACCAGGATGCCCTCTCTTACCACTCCTATTCAGTATAGTACTGGAAGTTCTAGCCAGAGCAATCAGGCAAGAAAAAGAAATAAAGGGTATTCAAATAGGAAAGGTGGAAGCCAAATTGTCTCTATTTGCAGATGACATGATAGTATACCTAGAAGACCCCATCGTCTCAGCCCAAAAACTCCTGAAACTGATAAGCAACTTCAGCAAAGTCTCAGGATATAAAATCAATGTGCAAAAATCACAAGCATTCCTATACACCAATAACAGACTTAAAGAAAGCCAAATCAAGAACGAACTGCCATTCACAATTGCTACAAAGAGAATAAAATACCTAGGAATACAACTCACAAGGAACGTAAGGGACCTCTTCAAGGAAAACTACAAAACAATGCTCAACGAAATAAGAGAGGACACAAACAGATGGAGAAACATTTCATGTTCATGGTTAGGAAGAATTAATATCGTGAAAATGGCTGTACTGCCCAAAGTAATTTACAGAATCAGCGATATCCCCATCAAGATACCATTGACTTTCTTCACAGAACTGGAAAAAACCACCACGAACTTCACATGGAACCAAAAGAGAGCCCGCATAGCCAAGTCAATTCTAAGCAAAAAGAACACAGTGGGGGGTATCACAGTACCGGATTTCAAACTATACTACAAGGCTACAGTAATAAAAACAGCACAGTACTGATACCAAAACAGAGAAATAGACCAATGGAACAAAACAGAGGCATCGGAGGCAACACAACATATCTACAACCATACAATCTTTGATAAACCTGACAAAAACAAGCAATGGGGAAAGGAGTCCCTGTTTAATAAATGGTGTTGGGAAAACTGGCTAGCCATGTACAGAAAGCAGAAACTGGACCCCTTCCTGACACCTTACACTAAAATTAACTCCAGATGGATTAAAGACTTAAACATAAAACCTGGCACCATCAAAACCCTAGAAGGAAATCTAGGCAAAACCAACCAGGACATAGGAGTAGGCAAGGACTTCATGAACAAAACACCAAAAGCATTGGCAACAAAAGCCAAAATAGACAAATGTGACCTAATCAAACTCCACAGCTTCTGCACGGCAAAAGAAACAGTCACTAGAGTGAATCGGCAACCAACAGAATGGGAAAAAACTTTTGCAGCTTACCCATCTGACAAAGGGCTGATATCCAGAATTTACAAAGAACTCAAACAGATTTACCGGAAAAAAACAAACAAGCCCATTCAAAAATGGGCAAAGGATATGAACAGACACTTTATAAAAGAAGACATAGATGAGGCCAACAAACATGAAAAAATGCTCATCATCACTGGTCATTAGAGAGATGCAAATCAAAACCACATTGAGATACCATCTCACGCAAGTTAGAATGGCAATCATTAAAAAATCTGGAGACAACAGATGCTGGAGAGAATGTGGAGAAAAAGGAACACTTTCACACTGTTGGTGGGAGTGTAAATTAGTTCAACCATTGTGGAAGACAGTGTGGCGATTCCTCAAGGCCTTAGAAATAGAAATTCCATTTGACCCGGCAATCCCATTACTGGGTATATATCCAAAGGACTATAAATCTTTCTACTATGAGGACACATGCACACGAATGTTCATTGCAGCACTGTTTACAATAGCAAAGACCTGGAACCAACCCAAATGCCCATTGATGACAGACTGGATTGGGAAAATGAGGCACATATACACCATGGAATATTATGCAGCAATCAGAAATGATGAGTTCATGTCGTTTGTAGGGATATGGATGAATCTGGAGAACATCATTCTCAGCAAACTGACACAAGAACAGAAAATGAAATACCGCATATTCTCACTCATAGGAGGGTGATGAAAAATGAGAACATATGGACACAGGAAGGGGAGTACTGAACACTGGGTCTATTGGGGGGGAAAAGGGGAGGGCCAGCAGGGGGCGGGGGGAGCTCAGGAGGGATAGCCTGGGGAAAAATGACAAATGTGGGTGAAGGGGAGAAAGGAAGCAAAACACACTGCCATGTGTGTACCTATGCAACTGTCTTGTATGTTCTGCACACGTACCCCAAAACCTAAAATGCAATAAAAAATAAAAAATAAATGAAAGTATGAACCAAAAAAGAAAAAGGAAATGAAGAAAACAATCCATTTATAATAGGAACAAAAAGATATCTTAAGAACAGAACCATGTACTCCAGCCCAGGTAACAAGAGCGAAACTCTGCCTAAAAAAAAAGGAACAAAACCAATGAAATGAAAAGATTTATACATTGAAAACTACAAAATGCTCATATAGAAAATTAAAGGGACATATAAATGAAAAACATTCATACTCCAGTGTATGGAAGTATTAATATAAATGCTATTAAAATACCCACACTACCATAGTAATATGCAAATTTAATGCAATCTTGAGCAAAATCCCAACTACATTGAATTTGTGAATTACTGTGAGTAGTATGCAATTTTAGAAGAGAAAAAGTCTTCTAAAATTAAAGTGAAATCACAAAAGACTTCCAACAGCCAAAGTAATCTTGGGGAAGAAAAACAAGGCTAGAGACATCAAGTGACCTGATTTCAAAATATATCTCGAAGGTATAGAATAAAAACGATAGAGCACTGGCATAAACACAGATATACAGACCAAAAGAACAGAACGGAGAGCTCAGAAATAAATATACCTATGAACAACTGTTCTCTGACAAGTGTATCATGAGTAAACATGGGGAAAGAAAAGTGTCTTCAATCAACAACACTGGAAAAACTGCATTGTTTGATACAGAATTTAAAAAACTCAACTCTCATCTCATACTATACACAAAAATCATCTCAAAATGACTTCAAGTCCAAGACTCAAACTGAAAAAGTACTAAAAGAACGGAGAAAAAAAACATGGCTTACTTCAGGCTAAATTAAATAAAATTCAGAAAGACAAACCAATATCTCACTTATATATGTACAATCTAAAAACATCAAACTCACACGAGCACAATGTTCAATCATGGTGGCAAGGAGGGAAATACAGAAAGATGCTAGTCAAGAGGTCCACGTTTCAGTTACGCAAAGAGTAGGTAGAAGCTGCCAAACTTCCATGGGTGTTGCGACGTAACACCATGTGGAAATCACCAAAGGTTAACATTTAAGTTTTCTAGAGTGTTGGAGGATGGGTGTAACAGCAGTGCCCTAGGCCTGGCCCTTCCTACTTTTCAAACCTTTCTACTCCCCCAGGTAGCTAGGCTTTTCAGGGCAGGGGCAGCCTTCAATATATCTGAAATGCTTTCAAGGACTTTTTGCAATGGTCTTGTTAGCACCTGGCCCTCTAATCTCTCTAACAAGTTATTGCTCTGTAGCACCCTTGGATTTCTTTCCTATTACATTTCCTTTCCACATTTAACAATTTTCCAAATTTTAGATCATAAGCTGCTAAAGTAGCTACATCACTTATTCAAAGTTTGCTTCTTAGAAATTTTCTCTGCCACGTACCCTTTGGTCATTACTCTTTTTTTTTTGAGACGAAGTCTCACTCTGTGGTGCAGTGGTACGGTCTTGGCTTATTGCAACCTCTGCCCCTGAGTTCAAGTGATTCTCCTGCCTCAGCCTCCCAAGAAGCTTAGACTAAGGCACCCACCACCACTGTCAGCTAATTTTTTTTTTATTTTAGTAGAGATGGGGTTTTACCCTGTTGGCCAGGATGGTCTCGATCTTTGACCCTATGTTCTGCCTGTCTTGGCCTCCCAAAGTGCTGGGATTACAGGAGTGAACCACCGTGCCCTGCCTGTAGGTCATCATTCTTAAGCTGCCCGCCAAACCCTAGGGCAATAGAAACAACACAGCCAGGTCCTCTGCTGCAAGTAACAAGGTAGGCTTTTGTTCTAGTTCCCAGTAACTTCATCATTTCCATCTGAGATCTCATTAGGAAGCCTTTTACTGTCTGTATCACAGCATTTTGGCCAGAAACAGTTTACCAATCTCTAAGAACTCCCAAACTTTCCTTCGTCTTCCTGTCTTCCTTCTGGGCCCTCATCAGAATCACCCATTCATTATAATACAACCCTTGCCTAGCCTGCTCCTTCAACTGTTTGAACCTCTGCCTAATAGTTCCAAATTTGCTTCCAAATTTTCCACTATCTTTTGGCAAAGAGTGGTATCCCACTCCTAAATACTGACTTTTTGTCTCAGTTCATTTAGATAAGATTTTGCCAAGTTGGCCAGGATGGTTTTGATCTCTTGACCGTGTGATCTGCCTACCTTGGCCTCCCAAAGTGCTTGAATTACAGACATGAGCCACAAAGAAATGCCCAAGTAAAAGTAATTTATAAAGGAGAGGGGTTTATATGGCTTACAGTTCTGCAGGCTGTAAAGAAGTATGGCACCAGCAGTTGCTTTTGGGAAGGGTAAGGCGAACTAGAATACACAGAGATCATATGGCAAGAGAAACAAAAGAGAGGTGCTAGTACATTCATATTCATATATGTGTTGATCAAATCCTCAGGCTCTATAAATGCATAAATTTTTCACACCAACTACAAATTAATCATAAAAAAAGTAGAAGATACACAACAAAAATTATTCTTAAATAGTAAATGAAACAAGTTGTCCTGGGAAATTAGTTTTATCTGAGTTAGGAGAAAATAGAGATTTATAAATTTACCAGTATCTATTCATGTTTACTCCTCTCCAAGTCATAATAAACATCGGTGTTTATTTGTTAAAGAAGAAAATATATTAATCTTATGAGATATTATAACACTTATAAATATATAAGATTATTTGTACCTTATTACATTTTGCCAACACTTCTGGACTGCTGATATCATTTGAGGTCAACAAAATTCTTTGGAAAAAAAGTACTGTATGGTTACCAATACCCCCATAGAGAAACTACGGCCGTTTTAGAAAGCACTTACTTAATCATTTCAAAAAGCTTTGGGTCTGAGACTTTGATATTTCGTGCCATATTCCATGAAAGATGCACCATGGGTACTAGCGACTTCACACTTTGGAACTTGTTCCATTCGTACCGTTCCACTGCCAATTTATACTGGCAGGCTAGGAGGAAAAACCAACAGCATAAAAACGTTACATATGAACATAACCATTAAGACAGGTGATAGCTTCAATATCAGTATCAATCCTGAAAACCTTGAAACACTGTTAAGATTATTCTGATTCTAAGTAACTTTAATTTAAAAAAAAAAAGTAAGGTAAAGAGCACTCACAATATGTGAGACATTGTGCTAGGTCCTTTTTACATCTTATCCCATTTTAGCCTTTCAAGGCCTTCTTTATTTTCTAATGCCTATTTGGTAGAAGAAATAAGTGAGGGGCTGGGCGCGGTGGCTCAAGCCCATAATCGCAGCACTTTGGGAGGCCAAGGAGGGTGGATCACGAAGTCAAGAGATCGAGACCATCTGGTCAACATGGTGAAACCCCATCTCTACTAAAAATACAAAAAATTAGCTGGGCGTGGTGGCACGTGCCTGTAATCCCAGCTACTCCGGAGGCTGAGGCAGGAGAATTGCCTGAACCCAGAAGGCGGAGGCTGTGGTGAGCAGAGATCGCTCCATTGCACTCCAGCCTGGGTAACAAAGAGTGAAACTCTGTCAAAGAAAGGAAAGAAAAGAAAAGAAGGAAGGAAGGAAGGAAGGAAGGAAGGAAGGAAGGAAGGAAGGAAGGAAGGAAGGGGAAGGGAAGGAAGGGGAGGGGAGGGGAGGGGAAGGGAAGGGAAGAAAGAAAGAAAGAAAGAAAGAAAGAAAGAAAGAAAGAAAGAAAGAAAGAAAGAAAGAGAAAGAAATAGAAATAGAAATAAGTGAGGGCTCCCAGCACCTTGGGAGGCCAAAGCGGGTGGATCATGAGGTCAAGATATCGAGACCATCCTGGTCAACATGGTGAAACCCCGTCTCTATTAAAAATACAAAAAATTAGCTGGGCAATGGTGGCGTGTGCCTGTAATCCCAGCTGCTCAGGAGGCTGAGGCAGGAGAATTGCCTGAACCCAGGAGGAGGAGGTTGCGGTGAGCCGAGATCATGCCATTGCACTCCAGCCTGGGTGACAAGAGCAAAACTCCGTCTCAAAAAAAATAAAAAAGAAGAGAAATAAGTGAGGGCCTGAGAGTTAAAAAACAACAACAACAAAAAAAAAACCTTAACCTAAAGTCATAAAGTTAACATTGTGGAGACATGGTGTATTTCAGGTCTTTCTAGGTCTTAAGGCCAGATTCTTTATTTACGTATATTAAATCCTATGACATCCTAGGGCTGCACATATGATATACCACATGAACTGAAACTTCTAATGATCAACTACAATGTTTTACCCCTTAATAAAGGGTTTCCTTTATAAAACCAAAATCTAGCACTCTAAAATATCATAAGTGTATCTTATATTTCTATAATTATTTGTTAAAATCTGTGTTCTTGGATTGCCATTTTTAAAGCTGAATTGAATCTCTGTACTAAAAATTGGAATTTCTTTTTCCACAAGACATACTCTATTTTTAGTGAGTTATTTTCTACTAGTAAAACAATATGCCTATTAGGTAATCCTTTAAAATATAAACTTCATTAGTTTATTATTCAAAATACCTGTAAGTGGACCAACATTCCAGGCAATGTTGTTGCACCAGCCAACAGCTTGAACCCAATGCACAGTGCCTGCATTTATCCAGACCAAATCTCCAGGTCGCTGAATAAATCTATACACAGGAACATTTGCTTCATAAAGATCTTCAAGGTTGGGCCACCAAGAACTCATTAAAAAATTCAAATTGTTTCTGAAAAAGAAAATAATAAAAATCAAGTTGAAAAATGTCTCAAGAGTTTAAAAAATGCTCAGTATTTATATTCCACTAACAGTTTCTATCAGAGGGCTGGATACAGTGTATCAGGCCTGTAATCCCAGCACTTTGGGAGGCTGTGGTAGGCAGGGTGCTTGAGGTCAGGAGTTTGAGATTAGGCTGGCCAATACAATGAAAGCACATCTCTACTAGTTTGAAAAAAAAAATAGCCAAACATTGTGACATGTGCCTGTAATCCCATCAATTGAGGCATTAGAAGCGCTTGAACTGAGGTTGCAGTGAGGCAAAATTGCACTATTCCACTCCATCCTGGGAAACAGAGTGACACTCCACCACAAAAACAAAACAAAACAAAACAAAACAAAAAACCCAAATTTTCATCACAAAAGCATTGCAACAAGAAATGCCTCTTTCATTTCCAATTAAAGTCTTGGACCAGTCCTGAGAGAAATGAATTGTAGGTGAATACTGACAGACTTATCGAAAGCTCAGTTACTATAAGCTTAAACTTGCTATTCAAAAGTCTGTAAATTAATATTTAAGTTTCTTATTACAGTGAAACACACTGATTTTTAATTTTGTTTCAGTAAGAAATATTTTGACTCTTCCTCTTTAATTTACCAAAAACCCTCATGATACCTAGAAATCTCTAAAAGAAAACTCTGGCTAGAAATCACATTAAATCATTTAAATCTTAATCATAATCACTGTGACAGATAAAAGAAGCAGGACCTTCTCTCAATTCCTGTGTTGTGGGTGAAGAGGAGAGCAGAAATCATCCTCTACTGCTGTACTGAATCCTAGGCAGGAAAGGGGAGTGAAGATAAAATGTCTAATTTGCATATGCTTTTAGGAATGAGTTGACTTAAATAAGGCAGGTGAAAAAACTACTAGAAGAACTCACAAAAATATGTGAACCATCACCATCACTGGCACCAATACAAACTGACAAAATGATGAAGTTTAAATATAAAAATCTCATTTGGTTATTCTCATTCATCAAATTTTTCCATATTGTTGTCTGGGTGTGGTGGGTTGTACCTGTAATCCTAGCTAAGGCAGGAGGATCACTTGAGGTCAGGAGTTTGAGACCAGCCTGGCCAACATGGTGAAACCCCAGCTCTACTGAAAATACAAAAATTTGCTAAGTGTGGTAGTGCGTGCCTGTAATCCCAGCTACTAAGAAGGATGAGGCAGGAGAATTTCTTGAACTTGGGAGGCAGAGATTGCGAATGCACTCCAGCCTAGGGGACAGAGCAAGACTCTATCTCAAGAAAAAAAAAGTTTATTTCACAATTGTTATGTACTACACAGTAACTATCTTAAGTTTTCTATTAAGGATTTAATAAAATACTTTATTTCAAATTTAAGTTTTTGTAAGAGGAAGAAATTCACAGACTTGAAAATGTTTCAGATTTAATAACTAGCTTTTGCTTTGTTTCTATTTTGTCTTTTTAAAAAAAAAAAAAAAAGGCCGGGTTCATTGGCTCACGCCTGTAATCTCAGCACTTTGGGAGGCTGAAGTGAGTGGATCGTCCGAGGTCAGGTGTTTGAGATCAGGCTGGTCAACATGGTGAACCATGTTTCTACTGAAAAAAAAAAAAAAAGCCACATGTGGTGACAGGCACCTGTGGTCCCAGCTACTCAGGAGACTGAGGCAGGAGAATCACTTGAATCCAGGAGGTGGAAGTTGTGGTGATCTGATCGTGCCACTACGGTCCAGCCTGGGCAACAGGGACGAGACTCCGTCTCAAAAAATAAAACAAAACAAACCAAAAATTATAATAACAAAAATCTGAAGTTGTCTATATGGAATCTTAGTCTCATTTATTTTATTGTCCTAAAACCGATTTTGACTTTAGTAGAGGTTAGCAATTCAAGGAATAAAAAACTTACACGTTTTCCATGACCGTTTTTTTTGTTTTCCCCTACTGTGGAGACAGAGTCTTGCTCTGTAGCTCAGGCTGTAGTGCAATGGTGCAATTTCAGTTCACTGCAACCTCTGCTTCCTGGGTTCTAGTAATTCTTCTGCCTCAGCTTCCCAAATAGCTGCAACTACAACTAAACACCACCATGACCTGCTAACTTTTGTAGAGATGGGGCTTCACCTTGTTGGCAAGGCTGGTCTTGAACTCCTGACCTCGAGCGATCGTCCCTCCTTGGCCTTCCCAAGTGTTGGGATTACAGGTGTGAGCCATTGTGCCTAACCTATTTTCCATAAACTTAAAAAAATTTGCCAATAAACAGGAAGCAAAGGTAAAAAAGGGGGAAAAATTATAAGCATAGCACAAATCTTACCTTACCTCACACCTATACTCCCCATATAAAACTAGAGAAAGTTTTGTATTAAGAAAAAAAAAAAAAGAAAGAAAGGCCAGGTGTGGTGGCTCATGCATATAATCCCAGCACTTTGGGAAGCCAGGATTAACCTGAACTCCTGAACTCAGGTCATCTGCCTGGCTTCCCAAAGTGCTGGGATTACAACATGGAGAAACTCCATCTCTACTAAAAAATCCAAAAAAATTAGCTGGGCATGGTGATGCCTGCCATTCCCAGCTACTCTAGAGGTTGAAGCAAGAGAATCACTTGAACCTAGGAGTTGGAGGTTGTGGTGAGCCAAGATGGTTTTAAGTAACTAATACAATTTTAATTATGTCTGTATTTGCCCACTAAAGTCTTTACCGACTCTAAAAAAACAAATGATTTGATTCCTTTGTTATTGAGAGTTTTAGGCTGAATTACAAAGACACATAAAATTTGAGTTATTAAACTACAAGGATGCTTTATTATATAATACTTGTCATTTCTAAAGACAATTGTAAGTAAAATTTTTGTTTAAAGCATACTTGTCAAATATGGAAAAACATGTAAATTTTTAACATTAACATAAAAAAAAATTAATTTGCCCTCTTCTCAACTCACACCTATTACCACTGCAGAGACTAGTTCATGGCACCTTTCTGGTTTTTTTTGTTTGTTTGTTTTGAGACAGAGTCTCATGATATGGCATGATTATGGCTCACTTCAGCCTCAACCTCCCAAGTATCAAGGACTACAAGTTCAGGCTAATTGTTGTGGTTTCACCATGTTGCTTAGGCTGGTCTTCTAGGATCAAGACATCCATCTGCCTCTGCTTGGCCTCATGGCATCTTTGAAGTGTTTCAGATAACATAAAAGATATAAAATCAAATCATTTATTAAAAAAATTTCTGCTGAGCAGAATGTAAATACTGACAGTTGCATCAAGAAACTTGGCTTTGCACTTTGTCTTTTACGATGAACTCTTTTCTCAGAATTATGTTAAATGAAAGTTTAGTTCAGAAACCTACTTTTCACAGAAGTCATTCAGAACACCCCAATAATCTTCAGGTACAACAAACCATTCACAATCTCCTGGACCAATATTTATGTTAACAGAGCAGAAGTTGTTATTTTCTTGGTGACCTGAAAGTAAAAGGAAATGAAAGTAATTGCAGCTAAAATTAAATGAAAAAATGTGCCTTTAAATCACTGGATAGTTTTTAGGACTAAGTGAAAAATAAATGCTTAAAACTGTGAATAGAACATAATCTGCAATAAATATTAGCTATAGTAATTATTATTATTTTCTTCTCTATAAACCACATATTAATTCTCACAAATAGTATGAGAAATCGTATTAAAAGAGGTATAGTTTTAAAAATGTAACCTGTCTCCAGCACTCATCCCCTACCACATGTCAAATTTAGTACATAATGTAAGGACCATAAATCTTCCATGAGTAGGTGGATAGCACTACCCATGGCAAGGGCATTTAAAAATAAAAATTACAAATACTAGGACACCATGGACCTACCCATGGTTAAAGAGGTAGAAACATTTACGTAACATACCATTTGTACTAGGAGTGAGGTTTTCCAACTGTAGGTGCAATTGACCTTCGACTGCAGAAAATACATCTGCAATTTAATGAAATCTAAAAGGAAAATAACCCAAAAGGAAAAAAGAAAAAACCTAGCAACTCTGTAAGTGCCTTTAAGGCAATTAACATGCTCAAGAAAATATGCTCAAAGATTGACATCAGTGTATAGTAGTACTGATCCCCTTGAAAAGACATTTTTTGAAGATCTCACTACCACAGAACAACTTTAACAGATGTAAATTTGTAGTTAATCTAGATAACACAAGAACATTGTATTTGAGCCTAATAAAGTGAAATATTATTTCCTCCAAGATAATTTCATTCTTTTAACTAGTAAATAAATTCACTCATTTGTTATTTTTATTTTTATCAATAAAAATCCCTTAAAAATGTGTTTTTTGTTTTTATAGAATACCTATAAAATATTGTCAATTGAACCTCTCGGCTTGAAAGTTTAAAATACTTACTATGTAGCCCTTTAAACAATGTTTGCTTAAATTAGAAAGTTTTTAGATTATATTAGAAAAAAAAAAGGAAAAGAGCATCACGTATTTCAAGTATTGTCAGTTAAATTTTTATTATATATAACTTGAGTAAACTGGTTCATAATATATGATTCTTACTGCAATTGTGGTTAAAACCTTTGAAAATCATTGTTAACCTGGTGTCATTCTTATTATTCACTAAGTACCTTAGGGCCCCTTTCCCAGTTCACCTTGTTCTGATATTTTTATATAAATTCAGGATTAGCCCATACTGTTTATTCTCAGATCAATTCTAAGAGTAATATGAACATTTTAATCTACAAGAAAAAATTTTAGGCCATGCATGGTGCTCATATCTATATTCCCAGCAGTTTGGGAGGGTGAGGAGGGTGGATCATGGAGTCAGGAGATGGAGACTATCCTGGCCAAAATGGTGAAACCTTGTTTCTACTAATAATACCAAATTAGCTGGGTGTGGCGGCAGATGCCTGTAATCACAGCTACATGGGGGACACTAAGGCAGGAGAATTGCTTGAAAATGGGAGGCAGAGGTCCCAGTGAGCAACTGCATTCTAGCCTCACAACTGCATTCTGGTGACAGAGAGAGAAGACTAAGTCTCAAAATTAATTAATTAATTAAAAATCATTTTAGTTTTAATGGTATAAATGAAATGCATTCTCTCTACTTGTTTCACACAATAAACTGAATTTTTTCCATCACATAAGGTATGTTAGAGTATTTTAAATCACCTGGAGTTCGACTCCCTGGAACTTTCATATATAGTTGTACTGTATTCATGCCCAGAATGGTATGCCCAACGTGGCTTAGAAGATTTCCTGCTGACACCACACGTACAAAGGCAGGAAGTTTAGTCAGCTCATGTAATTGCAACTTCCACCTGCAATAAAATAGCAGATTAAGAGTAAAAACTCTGTTGCAAAAACTCATGAGAATTACCATATCCTCAAGAACACTGTGAATCAATCAGAAAAATACTTAAATCTGTAAATATATTACCTGTACAGTCAGTAGAAGTAAACTCTTTAACTTATTCCAAAAATAAGTCCTAAGACAAATGGTTTAGTGAAAAAAAAAATAAAATGTATAACCTAGTAAATAAAAGAAACAATTTAGTTTCTATTTATAAATTTGTATTAATATAATGGGTGCTTTGATTTTCTTAAGAAAAATAAAATTCTAATTGTAAAAGCTGGTCAAATTGTTTCAGAATTGTAGGTTTATTAGGTAAAACTAGCATGTCAACATAAAAAAAGAGCTAATAATGATTAGGAATATTAAAAAAATAGAAAACTAGATAATTCTCATTCCTGTGATACTCTCATTGGTTCAGTTCATGGAAATAGTACTAGATCAGGGAGACTTACTTTTTGTTATCAGAAAGGTCAATGTTGGTCCCAAATTTAATAGTTTTAAATGGTCCTTTCTTTCTCCTTCCAGAACTTAAAAAAAAAAAAAAAAAGAAGGAACATTATATTCATGTATTTTAGACAGAATTATTGAGTGGATGCTAAAAGTTACTTACTTCTCTGAAGTTGTGGATTCATTATCTGAATGATCTTTGTGTTGTGTTCTTTTCTCATTTTCTTCCTACATGTCGGAAAAAAAAAAAAAATATATATATATATATATATATATTCATACTTAGTATCTTCTAATAGGCTACTACCACTTCTCTCATACAAATTATCAAAATACTCATCTACATGAGCAGTACTATTTTTGAGAAATAAGTTTCTACAGACACATTTCACAAAAAATATCTTCTATAATCACATTAAATTAAGTCCCAGGAAAAGTCAAAGCCCAGTACATGGAATTTAACATCCTCCATTATCTACAAGATTAGTCAGAAATTCAGTTATTACACTAATTTATAGGAAAAGCATGTAATCATTCAAAGTTTACTTTGGACCAACAAATTTTTGAAATGGTGAATGATTTCATTTAAAATGGCATCAAGAGAATTTGAGAGAGAACTAAAAATGAAAAAAAGGACACCATGCAAAAACTTATTAAAAAAGAAAAAAGATGTAAGAAAGCACCTAATAAAAAGACATATTCTCTGGTTTTTTGTTTGTTTCCCTTTTTTTTTTTTGAGACAGAGTTTCACTCTGTTGCCCAGGCTAGAGTGTGATGGTGCAATCTCAGCTCACTGCAAACTCTACCCCATGAGTTCAAGGAAGTCCCCTGCCTCAGCCTCCCTCAATTCCCATTTTTAATAAGCAGAAGCATTGCTTTGTTTTTTCCCTGTGGACAATGTTTTATGGGAAAGAATCTATTGACTCTTACACTTTGGCCAAAGACAAGATAATGAAGAAAAACTTGATGCAGGATTACTAAGAGGTATAACTATAAATGTTAATTAAAACTGCCAAGTAGCAAAGCAATGGAACTTTATTTGTTTGCATACATATACAAATATGTATAAAGTGAGATGAGATCCTCTATTTCTGATTGTAGTATAGTATTTAATTACCTCAACTTTCTTTGCAGTAAACCACATTAACAAAGCTAAGGGCATATGAACGAAGTTCTTCACAGGGTAAATTTTCAATGCAATGATTTCTGTATAAATAATAAAACATTTTCCCATTTTTAATAAATGTTGAATATAAAAAATGTTTGTTATTCTCTTGAAAAATGTATCAAGAATATGCAATAAGAAAATGTTTCTGGGGGGACTAGAAATCCAGCTGTAAAAGAATAACGTTTGGCCCCTATCTCATAATGTATAGAAAATTAACTTGAAATGAATGTGACCTAAATATAAGAGATACCAGGCAAAACTCTCATACAAAAAAAATACAGATGTAAATCTGTATGACTACAGGTTAGGCAATAGTTTCTTAGCAATGACAACAACAAATTAAATCCAAAAAATGCAAATAATTAAACTAAATCAAAATTAAATTTTTTGTGCTTTAAAGAACACTAAAAGAAAGTGAAAAGACAACTTACAGAATAGAAAATTGCTCTGGCACATATAATACTTGTGAAAGAATTTTTAGCAAGAATATACATGCATATCATTCACAGCTCAAAAATAAAAATGGCCCAATTAAACAATGGGCAAAGGAAATAAACATGAATTTCATCAAAGTAAATATACCCATTAACAATGTTTAGATGTTTAGCAACTAGCCATTTAAGAAAAGACAAAATGAAATATTAATTCACAACCAATAGTATGGTTAGAATCAAAAGGAGATTGTCTATAGGTATTGGAAAAATGGGAAACTTATAAATTAATAATTAAAATGTAAGCTGGGCACAGTGGCTCATGCTTCTAATCACAGCAGTTTGGGAGGCTAAGGCAGGTTGATCACTTGAGGCCAGTTGTTCAAGACAAGCATGGTCAATATGATGAAACCCACTAAAAATAACTTATAATAAAATTAGCCAGGCATAACGGTGTGTGCCTAAAATCCCAGATACTTGGGTGGCTGAGGCAAGAAAATGTCGACTGAACCCAGGAGACAGAGGTTGCAGTGATCTGAGCTATTGCCATTGCACTCCAGTGTAAACAGAGTGAGACTCTGTCTCAAAAAAAAAGGAAAATGTAAAACGATGCAGCCATTTGAAAAATAATGTGGCAGTTCCTTAACAGAATAAACAATGAGGCTGGGTCCAGTGGCTCACAACTGTAATCCCAGCATTTTGGGAGGCCAAGCCAGATGGATCACTTCAGGTCACTAGTTTGAGACCAGCCTGGGCAACATGGCGAAACCCTGTCTCTACTAAAAATGCAAAAATTAGCCAGGTGTGGTGATGCATGCCTATAGTCCCAACTACTCGGGAAGCTGAGGCAGAAAAATTGCTTGAACCCATGAGGTAGAGGTTGCAGTGAGCCAAGATTGTGCCACTGCATTCCAGCCCAGGCAACGAAGTGAGACTGTCAATGCAAAACAAAGGGTTCAGCTGCAGTGTCTTATGGCTATACTCCTAGCACTTTGGGAGGCCAAGGCAGGTGGATTACAAGGTTAGGAGACCAAGATCATCCTGCCCAACATGGTGAAAATCCGTCTCTACTAAAAATACAAAAAGATGAGTGGGGTGGCATAAGCCTGTAATCCCTGCTACTTGGGAAGATGATGGAGAATCACTTAAATCTAGGAGGCAGAGACTGCAGTGAGGAGAGATGGCACCACTGTACTCCAGCCTGGTGGCAGAGTTAGACTGTGTCTCAAAACAAAACAACAAGAAAAATCACAATAAATAATGTGTTATTATACCTCATGATCTAACATCTACCCAAGGGACGTGACAATACATTTCTTGCTCCACACAAATCACAAATACTGCTTATGAGTATTCATAATAGCATTACATATAATAGCGTTACACAGAATCACCATGAGACAGAACAGAAAGAATCCAAAGTTCATAAACTGACAGTGCCCCTTCAACAAAAAAGGTGTATATCCAGGCAGTGTACTACTGTCATTAAAAGGGAAATGATGTAGTGATACATGCTGTAAATTAATAGATCTTGAAAATTTTTATGCTAAGAAATAGACACCAGTCACAAGACATACCATTCCCCCCGAACACACACACACACACACACACACGCATAAGCAAATGCAACATAGGCAGATCTTCAAGATACGGTGGCTGCTTGAATTCTTGGAGTTGGGGGAAATGTGACTGAATGGCTCTGAGCTTTCATTGGGGAATAAGAAAATATTATGATAATGGTTGTATACCTAGGAAATATACTAAAACCCACTGAATTATAAACTTTATTATGATAATGGTTGCACACCTAGGAAATACACTAAAACCCACTGAACTGTAAACTTCATATGTGTAAATTTTATATTATGTAATAATCTTGATAAAGCAGTATAAAAAGATATAAAGGACAGGTGACATCAGCTCAAATGGTGAATGAGAAAGCTGAAAGCCCTCAAACTTCCTTATGTAAAAAAATTTAAAAGTAACTAACATAACCTGATACAATCTGTGGAAAACAATCACAGATCTACAGCAGTCAAGTAAACAACTCAGAAAAAGCTACACTCAAAACAGTAGAAAAGACAATGCTGTTTTTTACTTGTCCTTGCCTGGAAGAGGCATCAATTTAATTCCTAATTTGTTTCCTCAAAAGAGACAGAGCACAGAGAAAACCTTATCTGTAACATTCTAATTCATCTCGAGATGGTCTAAAATACTGGTTTCTGTTTTGTCTAATGCTTCAAATAAAATTCCAGTTATCCCGAGGCAGGTGGATCACGAGGTCAAAAGATCGAGACCATCCTGGTCAACATGGTGAAAGCACGTCTCTACTAAAAATAAAAATAATTAGCTGGGCATGGTGGCACGTCACTGTAATCCCAGCTACTTGGGACACTGAGGCAGGAGAATTGCCTGAACCCAGAAGGTGGAGGTTGTGGTGAGCCGAGATCGTGCCATTGCACACCACCCTGGGTAACAAGAGCAAAACTCCGCATTAAAAAAAAAAAATCCAATTATCAAAAGTTTCAATTTTCATTCTATGAGCCTAGATTTATCCAAAGACCCTAGACAGACACTGTAACAAAATTAGAAATGAATATATCTTATAAATGATATATATATATGATAATGCAAATATTATAAAATATAAGAACAAAATTTCACAAAATTCAACATCCTTATATTTGGTAAAAACATTCTACAAATTAGGCACAAAGAGAAAGATCTTCCACATAATAAAGGCCATATATGAAAAATCCTCGGAGTGGATTCAAGATGGCGAGGTAAGAACAACTCAGGATTGCAGCTCTCAGTGAACGCTCAGCGGTAAGTCAAAGCCACATTTCCAGACAGATCCTTCTTGCCCATAGAACAGGGAAATTCCCAGATGTAGGAGAGACATGAGACGCCAGCGCAGCTGTTTTGGCTGATGCGGCCGCTTCGGCTGGCACCACAGTGCAGCGGCACTCAGCACACTCTGCACAAAACGCACTGGTCCGGGTGCCCTCCTAAACCGGCAATCTGAGATTTGGGAGGGCAGATTAGCACATACATCTGATTAAACGGGACATGGACAGTGAGCCAGACCAGGAGATTCCTGGGAAGTGGCGTTTGAGCCAGCGCAATGGGAGGCTGCACGGGAAATGACACAGATCTCGGTGCACTATCAGCAGGCAACAGAAAAACCTGGGAGAGAGTCAACCATTCAACTTAAAAATAAGGGGGGGGCTCTGAGGCAGGGAGCCAGGTGATCAGGCTTGGCAGGCTTCACCCCCACAGGGACAAACATAACGGCGATTCGAAACGCTGGGGGTTGAGAGTTTCACTGCGGCACAGGTGAACCCAGGAGAGTGCAGCTCGGTGGGGGAGGGGCGTCTGTCATTACCAAGGCAGTCTGCCCCTACTGAAGTACACTCCCATTACTGACGCAGCCTGCCATTGCCGAGGCAACCCGACACAACAGAGAGACTCCACCGCAAGGCGGATACCGTGGCAGCAGGGCAGAGCCCGCAACAACAGAGCGGACCCCAGCAAGGTGGAACCTCGGCAAGCAAACAGTGACTAGACTGCCTCCTAGCTGGGCAGGACAGTGCAACAGATACTCATAAAGAAAGCCCTAACTCCCCAAG